GTTTTTTAATTTTGTTTTTATTTTTTTTTATGATTTTGATTTAAATAAAATAATATATAAAACTTATAATATCATATCATTTAAAATAAATTTTTTATATTTAAATATTTATAAATTAATTTAAATTTAACTTGAAACTTGATTTGAATTTGACTCAACTCAAATAAATTCAAATCAAAATTGAGTCGAGTTAAACTCTAGTTGAGTCAAATTAAGTTAAGTTTAAAATTTATATAACTCGAATCAAGTCGAGTTGAAAGATTTTATAAAATAAATTTGACTTGACTCGACTTAAAAAAATGAGTCAAATAGAGTTGATCCTTAAACTCGACTCGACTTGACTCATTCAGAACTTTAGGATGAAAAATGTATATCTAAAAGAATGTGAAAACTTTTAGAAGAATATTTTTTGGAAGGAGATATTAATAAAAGTAAAAGATTTACTACTACTAATATGCTAGAAAAATTTCAAAGAAAAAGTTGAAAAAGAGAGTTGGATGAAGAAAAATACCAAAACTACAAACTATTTAAGATTGAATATCTCGTTATTCAGTATAACATCATTAAGAAATAGCAGAAATGTCTTTAGTATATTAGAAGGGAATCAAGTTCATAATAAAAATAAATAAATTTATAATGAAATAATAAAATAATATAAAATAATAATATAAAAGACTGTTTTGGCAAAAGAATATATAAAAATATTATAAAAATTTTAAATCTAAATTTTGTTATTATTGAAATCACAAGTACAAGTTAGCTTGAAATCAACCTTTCCCTCAAATTAAAGTCATTGGAAATATTCATTAAAACATTGATAAAATAGAAATTAGATAATATTACATCATAATGTTTATAACAATTAATAAATTGGTTGTGTAATTATGACTAGGTGATCCTTTAATAAATGTGTCAAAAAATGCTAATTTTTCATTAAGATTATATGATCTATAAAATTTCTTCTGATTTAGCATAGTAATTTTCTCTAGTTATTACACGAATTACGAATTAACTTTTTATCTTATTAATTTTAAATAATATCATTTTTATTATAAAATAATTATATTGTATTTTCCAAAAAAAATTATATAATTTTAAAATAGCTAATCAAAATAGATTGTTAAAACTAATTATTAATTTATCTCTATAATTCTAAAACTTATATAATTTATTAATAAATATATTTTTAAAATTCTGAAATATGTTTTAGATTATAATTAAAATATTATTATATTTTCAAAACTATTGAAATTAATTTTATAATTCTGAAGTTTTAATAATTAATAATTTCAGCTAGCAGCTTTAATTATAATAAAATAAAGTAATAACTTTTTTTATATTGATATAGTATTATTAAATTATATAAATAAATATAATAAATATTCAAAAAAATAAAAGATTCAAAAATTAATATAGTTATAAAAATAATTATTAATAAATATTTTAAAAATAAAAGATGCTTTATTTTGATTAAAATGTTTAAATTATCTCGTGAAATTAAAAAAAATACCATACTATTAATAAGAATATAAAAACATATACAGTTATCCTTCTATATAATTACATCCTTTAGGACCACCAATAGTATAATTATAAAGAGAAATGCTTATAGTAAGATTTTTATTATATAATCACATTTATGTAAAATTTTGATTTGATGTGATTATATGTAAATTTTATCATTATAAAAAAAAACTTTTTTTTGAAAAATTTTTAATGAATGAATGCTAATTTTATTATTTAATGTAAAAATTACATTTTAAATTTAAACTAAATAAATAATTTTTAATATACAAATGTATATACAAAAAAAACAAAATTTAATACATATACTGCCCCTTCATTTTCACTAGATTGTAATATTAATTATATTACAAAAATATTAATTACTAAAATAAAAAAATATTATTATCTTTCAAAAATTATCAAGTATAATTTGCTGTTTTGAATTATACACTTTAGCTTTAATAATTCGCAAGTATTTTCTAAAAATATGCAAATTATTAATGCTAAATGCTGAATTATTTTACTGCTCAAAATAATTAATGATTATTTTAAATGCTTTGATTCCTTCATTTTCTGATATTACTATTACTTCTTCATCTAAAATATCACTTTCATTTCCTTCATTTTGTAATAAATTAATAATTTGTTTATCAGTAAAACTTCTTCAGTTGGTATATCATGATTAAGCAATTGAAGATAATTTTGTAAATCATCCACTTCTAGTAAAAATCAACATTAATTTTATCTGTCTTATTATCTAATTCAAAATCTTGCATTTTAATATCATCTATATTATAATCAGAAGATGGTAATATGCCTGTTTTAATCTAATAATTTCAGATAGTTGATTATAATATTCTCCTATGCTTTAGCAATATAATTGATTGTCTCTTTAATATTTAATTTATTCCTAAATAAAAATTATTGTTTAAATTATTAAATTAATAAATATTATAAATTAAATAAATTAAATAAAATACTATAAATTTATTAATTAAATTTATATTTCTCAATTTATTTCACTATTGAATTAATGAATTATATGATTGCAAAACTCTCTTTTATATTTAGCTTTAAAACTGTGGATGATACTTGCATCTATGGATTGTAAAATAAGCCGTAGTATTTGGTAGAAGGTAAATAATCTCAATATTAGTAAGTTTAATATTCAGTTTCTTTTTGTTGTTTTATTTTTAACCTTTTTTCTATTTTGAATTAAATGTGATGATTTTGCAACTACTTCATCATCATTAAAATCATTCTCACTTAAATTAGTTTCTTCTAATACTTTTGAATTGAAGTGAGATCCTGCATTATTAATCAAAAGTAATATTTTTTGATCAATTATATAAAAATAGTTATCAAGGTAATTAAGCTATTCAATAAAGATATCTGATCTCATTCATGCCTTTGAATTAGCATGATAAGTTATAGAAAGAGCTGATTTGTTAAAATTTCTAAAGCATCAAGGATTAAGTGATTTTCCAATTACAAGAGGGTGAAGTTTATGAGAATCTGTAACATTAGCACAAAAAAAAATAGAAACCTGAGTTTTATCCTATAAAATTAAAATAATAATATAAATAAATGTAATAAAAAAATGTAACAGAAAAAAATATAACAAAAAAAAATGATGTAACAGATAAAAACTTTATTATAAAAAATAGAACAAATAAAATATTTACCTTTTTTCAACCAGAAATTTTATCTGTACTGAGTGTTTGGTTTAGTTCCATTTAAAAAAAAAGTCTAATTTCATCTGCATTATAAATATCTTCTTCATTATATTTAGCTAAAATACTATGCAAATACAGATGTTCTTTTGGAAGAGTCTTAAGTGAAACACTATTAATTTTTCCTGAGAAATTAACCCTTTGAAGACTATTTCGCAACTTGAATTTGTATATCTAATTATTAATACATTTTAACTGCTTTTTAATATTTAATAGTTTAGCAAATTTCAAGTCTTTTTGTTGTAATATCATGTTAGTTAAAGAAATTCTATTAGCTATTGTTTGTGAAGTCTAAATTTGCATAACTTTGTCAAGTTCTGGAAATTGAACAGAATGATTTCGAAAAATATGTGAAGTTTGTGAAGTAAATAAAACTGCAAGCCATTTTTCATGACTTTTTCAGATTTTATTAATAGTTGTTCTATCAATATTTAATTTTTCATATTTTTTGTTAAAAAATGAAGCAATATCACCTTGACTTATATGAGAATTTGCTATCATATATTCACATATTTCCTTTTTAGCATCAATACTAATGGCAGTATGAGTTTATTTTGATTTTTCTGAACGAATAGATGATATGATAATAACAAACTGCATAAAAAATGCAAGGACTGCACAAACTGTACAAATATTACGCGATTATGCATATATTTATAGTTGTATAAAATTCAATGTTATCATGTAATTTCTGTGATTATATAGGGGTAAAAATTTTATTGTGATTATATAAGGAATAAATTTTGTATATTTATTATAATATTGGACCTTATAAATTATGTGATTATATTTTATATGTTTGTGATTATAAAAGGGGTATTTTCTATTTAAAAAGATCAGAACTAAATAAAGTAGAACTAAAGTGAGGAAGTGACTATATAGAAAGTGACTATAAAGGGGGATGACTGTATTACTATAAGAATATTAAACTAATTTTAATAAAAAATTATATATAAATAATTTCTAATCTAAAGAATATGATGATTTTATAAGTATATTTAATAATTCATAAAATGATTTTAAAATTAATCTTATAACAATTAAAAATATTATTAATCAAAAACATTATAAATATAAATTTTTTTATAAATTATTTTATTATTAAATTTCATATTATTACAAATTTTCTTAAAGTTTACAAATACTATAAAAAAAGAACAAAACTAATATTAATAAATTAAGAAAATCCAAAAAAAAAAAATTCTTACAACTTACCAAACTTTTAGTAGTTATTATATCACGTTTAATAGATGATTGAGCTTCTTTCATTTTTTTAGATAAAGAAGAATCACCAATCATTCTAGCTGCATTTATTACTTCTCTACAAGTTTCATCCAATCTTGTAATACATCTCACAATTGACCCTTCTAATACTTCAGTTAATTCTGTAATTTCTTTAAAATCCTAAGAAATAAACAAATATGATGAAAAGAATATCTCATTAACAATAATAATTGTTATTAATTACCATTTCTTTTTTAGCCCATTCATAAACTACTTCAACTAATCCAATGTTTATTTTTATATCATCATCATTAAGATCACATTCTTTAGCAATGTTTTTTCCAAATTTCTTTATAGTTTCTACTCCCTAAATAATATTTTATTAAATGATATTAATATTTATAAAAGAAAATCTCGACTTTTATAATACATACTTCCTCTAATTTTGGCGTAAGATTTGGTTTACTAGCACGTTTTTCTTGAAATACGAAGCATGACAACATAGCAACAATTTCTTCTGGTTCATATTCTTTAAATTCATTTTCAAGAATTAATTCGGTAAGTACCAATTCATCTGCTGAATTGATCTATAATTAAAATATATAATTATTATTAATATATTGATTCTTCCGAAAAGTTAATTAATGGTTAGGATGAATATTAACTTACTTCACATGCAACATGACCTTTCAATTGTAATGTACCATTCGGATCAATATACTTTAACCTCTTTAATACTTCAATCTTTTGTTCATAAACTGGTAATAATTCAAGATTTTGATCCGATATTGTATGTTTTAGATCGTCAATTCTTGCTTTAAGCTCACGCTCTCCATGTATATGTCCATACTAAAATATTCAATTGATAGGCATACAAAAATTAATCAAATAAAATGTAGATAGAATACCAAGTTAAATATACTTTACATGTTCGATTAAATCTGGACATATCACACAGTGAAATGAATTCAATTCATTCATTAATTTGTTTTTTTTTATCAATTCAAGTTGAAAATTGTACTCTTTTATCTTTGACCAGTCATATTCATTAATTCCTACGGTAAAAAAAAAAAAAAAAAAAAAAAAAAAAAAAAAAAAATCGGTAAATACAAATAATATGAAACTTATGAGAACAGATTTTCACTCTTACTATTTTGTGTTGCATATCGCAGCAATTCTTGCATCAATTTAGAAATTTCATGTTGATCATTCTTTTCCATTATAGCGTATATATCAAGCTTTTTTTTTTTAAAAAAAAAAAAACACAAAATCGTTAATCTTACTAATAAAAATGTGACAAATATATTAATAACATTCATCCTTCACGTACATTAATTAGATGGTTTGTTACAAAACCAATATCTCTATAAGTAAGATATTCAATCTTGTATGTACAAGAACTTGGATTAGGAATAGATAGTCTTGTGACGGGAAGTGGCGCTAAACCTTCTATAAAAATCACTAGATTTTTAACAATCGTTTATCCTTTTGAAAATTACTTAAATAAATTGAAGACTAACCTCGTTCAGATTGAATTGTATCTTCATCTAAAAGCATAAAGACCCAAAATGATTTGTCAATTTTAGGACCTGCTGGTGCGGATTTCAATATAACAGCTGCTACATTCCTATAAGACTAAATCTTAAAGTTACTATTCACGTAAAATTTACAGTAAAAAGATAAAATTATATGAACAAAAATTATTCCTTACACCGCTATTAATAACAATCACTCTTCCAGGACTTAGTACTTTAAGTCCTAAAGGATTAATAATAATTTTTTCTAAAAGATGATGATTAATTTTTACAATCGTTGTCGAGGCATCATAATATTCATTGATATCACGATTACATATAGTACAATCAAGTTTTTTTAATTCACTAAAAGATTTTTCGTTCTATATATTCATAATAGATTTTTGTAAATCAATACATATATTTCGTATTTTGATTTAAGTAAATGACAAAGAATAATCACTATTACCTTCATGAATTCTTCCTGTTGGTCTGGCAATATTTTCTGACTTGCATTCTCGGAAAAACTTCGCTTGATCATCTCTTCAACACGTAAAGCTTTAACACGCAATAAATTAAGTATCATATTATAAGTAAGGCGAAATTGTGATTCCAATTTCGTAGGTTTTCCCAATATCATATTTTTAAGCGATGATACCTTAATAAAAAAAAAAAGTAAATTTAAAAAAAATTATTGGTTGAACAATAGGTTGTTAAAGAATTAAATAACTTCAACACACTTCGGGAATTTTATCGCGACGGTCAGGAAGAATAATCACAATACCAGTATGATCTTTATTACGTCTTCCCGCACGTCCAGACATTTGCGTATATTCTCCTGGATTTAATTCACGAAGGCCCATTCCATCATGTTTTTTTATACCAGAGTAGACAACTGTACGTGCTGGCATATTTACACCCTACAAAATTGAATATGAGACAAATAAGTAGACTTTTTTACAAGGAAAACCAAAATACCATGGATAAAGTAATTTAATTACCATAGCAAAAGTTTCTGTGGCAAACAGTACTTTGACAAGTCCATCTTTAAATAATTTTTCTACCATCTATTTAAATAAAAGAAAGATAATCATTTATATCAATCTTTTAAGGTCCGTGTAAATGTTTTTTTTATACAACCTATAGAACTATTCATAATTAAGAATGCCATTGACGAACCTCTTTAATTATTGGAAGTAATCCACTATGATGCACAGCAATTCCTCGTTTCAACCAACTTTTCATTTTCAACACTTGAAGCAAATCCTTATTAGTTCCTAAAATTAAAAAGAGATGATTCAATCAAAATTTATATCTTTCACGAAAATTTCAAATTATATCTGCAATAAAAGCTTAAATTTACCTTTTAGTCGCTTCAAACTATTCTCGATAGTAATACAAATTTTACTTTGCTCAGCAGCATTACAAAGATCCAAACTACTAAGGGATTCTGCTAAAATATTACACCTCTTTTTTGAAAAAACAAAATTTATTACTGGTAAATAATCTTTTTTTTTTCAATAATCTAACAAGATCTATCCATAAAGGTTTATCCTGTATTTAATTAGACAAAAAAGATTATTTTTTTTTTTTTAGAAATTGATATTCTATTAAACATTGCAATCAAAAATATCGGGAAATAAATACTTGAAAATTCGTTCTAGCACCTCCACCTCCACCTCCACCGCCTCTATGATTGGTTTCACCGCGGCTTCGTGTTCCACTTCCACGTCCTCCACGTCCTCCTCCACGAGTATTGCCTTTTGGTCCCATATCTTTCTTTGATGGATCATTAGCTTTCTTCCACCTATTTTAGTTATAATAATTGAAAGTATAAGTCAATCACATTTAAAATAACATTTCTGAATAATGAATGAGACATGAGTGCATACTCTTGATACCCTTGTTCTAGGAATTTGCCATTTTCATCGACAATTTTATAAATTTCTTTATTAGCATATATGTAATGCTCGAGTGGCACGGGACGTTTCGGTGTGCTGATCACGTAAATATCTTTCTTCTTTGTTCGCCTTATTTTAAGAAACATAATGATGATAATATTATAATTATAATATAATAGTTGAACATAATTTCTTTCAAAGAAGGACATTTCATACCCAACCCAATCAGCAAATTCTTTGGTATTCGGTACAGTAGCCGATAAAAGAATAAGAGTTACATGAGCAGGTAACATAATAATAACTTCCTCCCAAACTACGCCGCGCTATAAGAGTCAAACGAATTAATATAACTCAACAAGAATACTTTTCATAGTGAATTAAGCCACTTGCCTCCGAATCATTAACATAATGAACTTCATCAAATATAACAAATTCGACATCTCTAATTAAATCAGCTCCTTTATATAACATTGATCTTAAAATCTCTGTTGTCATAATTAAACAGGAAGATTCAGGATGGATTTGAACATCTCCTGTCAATATACCAACTTCAAAATTTTTCTTAAATTCTCCATATTTTTGATTAGAAAGAGCTTTAATCGGAGATGTATATATAGCTCTAAGAAAAAGATGTAATATCTCAGTAATGAGAGAATTTTTTTGTGTTGTATGTGTTGGAAAATGACATACCGCGTCATATGTTTAGCAGATAAAGCTATAGCATATTCAGCAATCGCAGTTTTACCGGCTGAAGTATGGGCAGCTACAAAGATCGAACAACCACTTTCCAAATGATAAATTGCTTGTTTTTGAAATGTATCCAATTCAAACGGATACTACCATTTGAAATAAAGAAGTCAATGTTAACATTTTGTATTAAAAAATTTCAATAAAATTCAACAAACAGATTGGTATATTAACGTCAAAAGCCATTTCTGGGACCAGCTCTTCAAAGTTCGATAATTCAATATTAACATCAATGTCATGAGCCCAATTACGTTTTCGAGCTGCAGAGGTACTTGCTTTACTTGCTGTGCCTAAGCCTTTAAGTGGAGGTGCCTGAAAGTAAAAGGAGAATATATTAAATCTAGAAATTGGGATTTTTATATATTTTAAAAACTATTCCATACCCGAGTTGGTAGGAGATTATCAACAGAATCTTCTAGATCTGTTATATCTTTATTCGTTTCTTCGTCTTTCATCATTTCTACAACTTCAATATTCTATATCCGTAAATATGCCCAAAACGTATTAAAATTATTAAGATTAGCATTTAACTCGTCATAAACAAATCCAAAAAAAAAAAAACTCATGAATTGTCCGTACCTCTTGTAATTCTTTATTTAAAACCTCTCGAATATATTCCGTTTCGTTCAACGGTTCAAGGAATTCAGCCAATTCATTTTCATCATGAGATATCATATCAGTAATATTTAAACTTGTCAATTTATTTGTTGGGACTCGAATTTGACGATTTTGTCCGTCTATTCACAAGGTAAAATAGGAAAAGGTTACGTAATTATCAATGTTTAAGAAGGCAACAAGAATTATGAAATCATTCATAACCAAAAAAAAATAATAATTATTTGATGTAAAACCTTCAAATATCAAACCACGATCAAAGCCCGGAGGTATTGATAGTATTTCGTCTTGAAAAAAAAATTAGAATAAATTTTATCATTATTTTTTTAATAAATTGGAAGAAGCGCATTATATTATAGCTCCTTTTGATATTTGAAATAAACAAACCGTCTTCAAAATTCAATGAAAGATTTACAATTTCTTTATCATTAATATTAATCACTGTTCCTGTATCAACCATTACTTCAGATTCCAATCCACCTAATATAATTTAAAGAATTAACGTTTTTATTTAAACGAAATAATATAAATGAAGGTTCATTTTTATTCCATACCAGGAGCAAATGGAAATTGACTAGAAGCTCCCTTGACAAAATGATTTATAGCCCCTGGTTCACGTAATAATGATGTTGAATTTTTTGCAGTCAAATTCGATTCACCAACTACGATCTTTATCATAACAATAATATAGATTAAAACTCTTATTGTAACTTTTAAAAATATATATTCTTAAAATAAGGATAGGTAGTTTAAACTAATATTACTTCTTTATATCCAATAATCTTTCCATCAGGACCATCTCGAATCATTTCTAAAGTAGTTCGTGATTTCGATGGTTCCAATGCAGTTAATGACATAAAGTCAGGCTCCCGTTCCAACAATCTAGAATAATTAGAAAGTATGTCTTTTGTTTATTTCGGAACGGATAAGTGCAGATAAAAAAAAAATTACTTACTGTTGACATTTGAACAGCCATGAAGTAGGGAATGAAGTATGAGGTATTAGATATCTTTCTTCTATTTCTCGTTCCACGTCTTCTCGTGATAATGGATTCGCGAATCCAGGCGGTAGCTAATAAAACGAAGTTAATTATTTCAATTAAGGATTAAATCCGAAAGAATTAAATATCTTACGAGCAATCCTTCGTTTGGAATATCATTTATGCTAGCTAAGTATGTTTATTTTGAAAAAAAAAAAAAAAAAAAAATTGGAAACGAAATTATGGATTTATAAAACAGAAATGGTAAGAATGAACTTATTAACTAAACCTGATACTAAAGTTTCTCCCATTTCGCTTTAATATTTTGACGAGAGAATTCAAATGTCGAAACAAACGTGAAAGATTTGATTGAAAATCCACTTTTTATACACAAATACTAATGTCACGTGTTATTACGAAATCAATTTTATTTCGTAATAAAGAATAATAATACATTTAAGAAATTAAGAAAATAATAATTTGAAATCTACTCAATAATCCCCCTTCATATCAGAATCGCTAAGGTCACTAATTGAATCTTTCTCCTCAATATTATCAATCATATTATTAGTGTTAGTAGTAATGGCAGGATTATTACTAAAAGAACTATTCGAATTAGTAGAAGAAGCGAATAATTGTACTGGAAGACCGTTAATAATATTATTATTATTAACGGAAAGTCGTAGATTGGAAGGTTGTTGTTGAGCATGGAATTGTGAACCACATGTTGAAGGATAAGAATGATGATGACTCATTCCAATTGATTGATTAGGTGACCAAGGGGTACACAATAATGGGGTTGAGCTCGTCAAGTCAACCGAGGTTGCGTTTTGTGGTTGAAATTTGATTCGATGGTTAAAAGTGAGAGCATTTAATATTTGATGATTACCGTATGGATCAAAACTGCTAATGGATGGTGACATTTCGGATGTTATAAGATCATTAATTGCTAAATTATTATTAATTTCGCCTCCTCTATTATTCATGCCACTTCTTTCTTCTTCCCTTCCTTCTACTTGACGTGAATTATTCCATAAATATGTTTGATCTTGACTTAAAGCGCCTCCTATTAGTGAATTACCTCCTAAAATACCAGTTTGATAATAAAGTTGATAATTTTGTTGTCGTTGTTGATCCGTTTGTGCAAATACCAATTGTTTCAATAAACGATGCGTATGTTGATGTTCCTTCCTCTTTTTTTGACTCTTTCTCGGATAATTTCTATTTGCCTTTGGCATCTTCTCTGAATTTAAAATATCTTCCCCAGGTTGAAGATATCGAAGTTCTTCAAATGCGCGAGGAGGTAATAATGGTTCGACCGAAGAATCTTTTCTGATAACATCTTCATATATGACCATATGTTGATACGTCCCATTAAATTTAATACTGATAGTTTTCTTTAATAATCCATCTTTTCTCAATAAAAACAATCCTTTGCTACATTGATGAACTTTGAGTCCTTCGGCTGAAATTCGTTTTTGTAAGAGTTCATCTAAGGGTTCATGACGTTTGATGTTTCGATCACGTGTTGCTAATTCACGGTAAACCAGGAAGTCCTTGATGATCCTACTTGGACTCCATAATCTTCCATCTGTCCATCTTTTTATTCCTGATTCAGTTTCATCGAATACATAACTAAGAAAAGAAAAATTTCAATTAAAATTCCATGTAAAATAATAGATTTCAATATTCAAAAATACTTACACGTTTCCACCACACAGTTCTTCTCTTTCCTTTTCCAACAACCTACGTGTGGTTCTCTGAAGGATTCCTTGCTGACATGCTTCTACTCGAAAAAAGATAAATATTTTATGTAAGTTATTTGCAAATTTGCATATCATTATATATTAAAGCTTACCAAAAATAATTAGCGCGTCGTTTACCGTTTCAATTCTTCCTGGAAATAATAAATTTCATATTACGTGTAATGTTTTAAAAGAGAAGAAATCGCGAAAATAAGAAACGAACCATGATAAGTTTCCATTTTTTTTTCTTTTATTGACAATGAATTATGTTAAACCAAAGGTGATAAAAGGAATCAATAAAAAAAAACAAAGAAATGTAGTAGTGAAACGATTCCTAAAAAAAAAGAAAAAAAAAAAAACATGAAATCCACGATTAATAATGTATTATATTTTATACTATTGTTTTTATAAAAAAAAAAAAAGTTAAAATAAAATCTAATCGATCAAAGTATTAAAAAAATTTTTTTTTTTTGATTGAGAGTCAAAAAAGGGAAAATAATAAATAATAATAGTGAAAGCGCGAGATTTTATGGCTAAAGAGATTTTAATACATCAACGAATTGTCTTTTTTTTTGCGGCATAATCATTAAATTTGATATATAATATTAATAAAGTGAGAAGTGATTACGATTTATTACGTCAAAAACTCATCAAATAGGCTTTCAAACAGCTGAACGATCAAAGCGACAATAAATATTTCAGCAATAATCATTATTTTTTTTTTTTTTGTATTTTTTTTTTTATAAATGCAAATTGATAAAGTTAAAAAATATGTTGAAAAGCCTCCAAATAATAGTTAAAAATTAGGAGCCCGACGTTGAACTAGTAATTTTACGAAAAATTATTCGGAGTACTTTTTTAAAATTATTGCATTTATAAAATTCATTATGCTTGTGCCAATTGAATCTTGATAAAGGAAAAAGTTTTATCAATTCTCTATCGTGGATTTAATATGATTGACACCAATTCATGATTTTTAATACATGGAAGTCGAAATCATCTTGTATATAATATGACACATCATGAGCTATTTCCTAACTGCGCATTTTATAATTTTTCAATCATTTCTTACTATCTTTTCAATATTTCAATTAGATAATTCCAATGAGCTAAAGTTTTTTGAATTTGAATCAATAAATTTTGATAATATCTTTAAATTATAAAAATCATCTTATTTTTAAAAGAATTTTGACTATTAAACTATTTGAATATCTAAAATGTATTTAGTTTATATTCATTTTCATTAGCATCTTTTAAGAGAAGAAACAATTATTTAAAAAAGTTTTAGTAATAATTTATTAATAAATATTTTATAAAATTCTATTAAATAAAAATATAAGAAAATTAAATAATTAGGATTTAATTTTATATAAAAAAAATTATATTTAGATATATTAAAAATCAAAAGATTTTTATTTGTTAATTTATAATAATATATATTTAATTTTTATATAAAATCTAATTTTTTGATTAATAATTTACTAATAGTAAATAATTTACTTTTTTTTTAAGGATTTTTTTAAATAAATAAAAAAATTAAGATAAGTTATTATTAAATTTAACTAAGAAATAATAATTTATTAATAATATGAAAGAAGAATTACAGTATAGATCTAAAAATATATATAAAATTCTATTAATAAAAATTTATGAAAGATTTTTATATATTTTAATTAAAAGATTAACTTTTTATTATAAAATTTTTAAGTAATCTATAATTTTGTCTAGTTTAATAAATAAAGAAAAATCTAAGATTTTTATAATAAAATACTAAAGAAATTAATTTTATTTTATATATAAATTTTAATTTTAAATTAAATTTATTTAAATTTAATATTAATTTTATTTTTAATATTTTAATCTATTTTCTTTTTTTTATTGCAATAATTTTATTTAATAAATTAAATATATTTATAATTAAAAATCTTTTTATTATCATATTAGATTAATTATGATTAAATTAATAAAAATAATTTTAAATTATTATAATATAATAAAATTTTTTATAAGTATATTTCTAAAAAAAATTATTATATGATCAAAAGTAATAATTATAAATAAACTTGATTTAAAATTGCAAAACTTATTAAAAAATTTATTTAATTTAAAAAAAGTAAAATTATATTAAAACTTATTAAAAATACATTAAACTTTAGTAAAAAAAATAGCATAACTAAAATCTTGATATTTTATTAATTTAGATAAGTAATTTAATCTAATTGTATTATATAATTATAAAATTTTTTAATTAATAATAAAAAATTATTTGAAATATATTGTTTAAATTTATAATTAAAAAATTTAAATTATTATATAATTTAAGATTAAAAAATTATTTTAATTTATAAAAAAAAGAATTATAAATATATTTATTATTTAAAGATAAAATAATTTATTTTTAGATAAAGAGATTTAAAATTATATTATATTATTATAAAAAATTAAATTTAAAGATTTTGAAAATTATAAAAAATACTTTTTTAAATAAAAAATTTAGTAAAAAAAAGAATTTTATTTAATTAATTTATACAAAAGATAAAGTTATTAATTAAGTAATAAAAACTGTTAAGAAGTTTGAAGTAGTAAATATGAAATATTCATAAATTTAATACAAGTAATTTAATTGATCAGTAAAAAGATATACAATTACATATATAATAGATAAATGTAATAAAAAATTGCATTAACTTAAATAATAAGCAGGTAGATAGATTAATAAAATTTTTAAGTTACATAATATTAAATAATTTTTTGCTTATACTTTAGACTAACAAATTTTAATAAATTATATTTTAATAAAAAAAAAAATCATAATTAATATATAAATTAATTATTTATAATTAAAAGTTTAAAGATTATAGTATTTTTGATTATTTTAGATAAAAGATTTTTATTAATAGCAGTTTTTATTATAAAATATTTTTTATAGAATGTATAAAATTAAAAAATATTATTTTATTATAATAATAATATTATTATGTATTTATTTATTAATTAAATACTAATTAAAGTATTTAATGAATTATATTTTTATTTAATTTTAAATTATTTATTAGTAGAAATTATAAATTTTTTATATTTTATTAATATTTATATATTTTTATTTTAGTTATTTCTGATTATTATAAAAATTTTTTTGAAAATATATATCAAAATTAATAATTTATATTTAAAGTATTTAAAAATAAAAAATTTCTAAGTTTACATAAGATGTATATACTTAAATTATATTATAAATATATTTATTAATAATATCATATCACTCTGTTTTTAGTTTTTACTATTTATTTTAGAAACTTAAAATTTTTTTGATAAAAATTATTATTTCGTTACACTTTATATGTTATAGGCTAATTTTTTAATTTTTTAATGCTGACAAAAATAATATTAATGCTAATTATGTAATAACTTTTTTATAAATAGAATTGCCTTAAAATATAATATAATATTATTTATCTTTTTAATAAATCAATTTTTTTTAAAAAAAAAAAGTATTTAAAGATTTATTAAATATGATTTTTATAAAAAATTTAATATATTTATAGTATAAATATTATAGCTTAAAT